TGAAACTGTATTGTGGTTTGATTGTGTGTGTACCTGCATGTTCAGACGTCCTCTCAGGGCTGAATGACCATGATGAGACATAGAAGATGCCAGTATCTGATCGTCCTCCACTTGATGAGACTCCATGCCAAGAGGAGGACACTCTGACAGACGGGAAATACTGTATCATTCTTTCTTAAAGGGATAGTTCACCCAAAAATGAAAATTTGATGTTTATCTGCTTACCCCCGGGGCATCCAAGATGTAGGTGACTTTGTTTCTTCAGTAGAAAACAAACGAAGATTTTTAACTCAAACTGTTGCAGTCTATCAGTCGTAGTGATGAGAGCACTGACAGTGCTCTCTGAGCAGTTGTATTTTGTACACTGCGGCTGCCCTTCATTTTTTACACAGGAAAACCATTTGTGCTGAACAAAGGCTGAAGCTGGAGCCAGCAGCAGTTCTAGCCAGTCTGAAGTGAAAAAGCCGAATTCCAGCTGGAAACCAAAATCTTTGTGGGGGAAGAACATGTCAGCTCTGACATTTACTGCCTTCAGCTCAAGAGTTTGTTCACTGAACTCACTGAATATCAATTCTGCGCTCACAAACAGCCACTTCTATAAGAGGCCGTGTGTTTCTGCTCTGATTATACTGTGATTTGTGGCTGTTTTCCAGAAATACTCACTCTTTGGCTCGGCATGAGGAACCTTCTGCTTTCTCTTCTCCTCCTCCTCCTCTTCCCACATCTTCCGTAGTTTTTCCGCTGTGTAAGGGAATGGAGAGACTGAGACTTGAAATAGTTGAAACAGGTTATTGTAGCCTTGTTTCATAATAAATCTATTCAATAAATGCCAGCACAGCTCTAAATGTGCTAAAAAAACTTATATTTTGGTCTAGTTTTCCAGTACAAATCAAGAAAAAAAAAGAAAGAAAAAACCTGCACTCGATTAGTTTGTAATTTATGGCTATTTCATAATTTTCAATCTTTTTATGAATATATCCTGCTTATAATTATCATATAATTGGGCAAATCTTACAAAGTCTGTCAACAACATTTATAGGATTTCACCTAAAATCAAAACAAAAAGCATTAAAGAAACTGAAAACTGCTTTGCATTATTTTCATTTTCATAGTCATGCATTGCTGTTTTTTTTTTTTTTGGTCATAGTAAATCTTTCACAAAAATACAAACAGAACAGCTAAATGCTTTCTAATTAATAAATCCAAAGGCATTTTTCACTACATCTAATTTACTGCAGACCACCCAAAAGCTGGCCAACCTACAGAACGCATGCAATAAAAGCACATTCTCTTTCATTTGAACAAATATTACATTGATTTACACACCCTTCTCCTCTTTGGCCTTTCTTGCTTTTTCCAGCTCTTCCTCCAGCTTCTTTGCTGCCACTGAATTTTCAGAGAGAGCAAATTAGGATAAAAATAAAATATACGAAACATTCAAAACACAGACAGATTCAAGCTGTTTGATAGAGCCGATTAAATATAAAAGATTGAAATGGTGCAAACGTACAGTCAGAATAATCGTATTCCTCATACCAAGGGGCAACTGTTCGAGGAGTGGTAGTGGATTCCTCTAGAGGGAAAAAATACATTATTTTGATAAATGTGAGTGAAAGAGAACATAACATACTATTTATTTGCATTGCATTTCCTGCTTATGTTGTTTTTAGTGCATAAACGAAATTGAATGTAAAATCAGCTTTTTATTTTGTCTGAGTGATGTTTGCGGGGTGCAAAACTCCACACCATGATAAGTTGTTTGGAGGAGTTTTAAACTTGTTATGTGGCCGTTTTTTGTTACAAGTATCATCTTTCCCAGACTTTTCGAATGTAAATTGGCCCTTGATTACCTGGGATTGGTAAGTATATACTTGGGTCATCAGTGCTGTGTGGCTCCTTGACTTTAGGGATGAGCTCAGGCTCTGGAACTTCATCTGTCAGGTGATAAAAGTTTATTATTATAGTAGTATTTTGAGAATCTGATTCTACATAAAAATAAATGATCCAGAAGGGGGTTTTCACAATGATGCCAGAAGAACCCTTTGGTTCCACAAAGAAACTTCAAGTGAAATTCTTATAAAATAATTTTTTTTCTTATTGTTAAGAACATTTTAATAATCTAAAGAACCTTTTTCCACATATAGACCTTATGTGGCTTTGCCCCTTTTCAGCGCTGCGCTCGTTGTCTTCTGTCTTCCATTTGTATTTACACAGCATGTATAAGGTCGTACGAAATTATGAATTAACTGTTTGTTTTAAAATCTGCCCAGTCTACTGACATCTGCTTCAAACATTACAATGCACATGATAACTTTTGTTCATAAGTAAATCCACTTCACCAGCTAATTACTAAACAGTGGTGCTATACCGCAAAAACGGAAGTTCAAAGACAGGATTTTAAAGATGGCTGTGCACTTGATTATCTGACGCATAAGGTCTAGTGCAGGGGTGTCAAACTCAATTCCTGGAGGGCCGGAGCCCTGCAGAGTTTTGTTCCAATCCTGCTCCATCACACATACCATGTAGTTTTCGAATAAACCTGAAGGACTTGATTAGTTGGATCAGCTGTGTTTAATTAGGGTTGAATCTAAACTCTGCAGGGCTCAGGCCCTCCAGGAATTGAGTTTGACACCTGTTCTAGTACATTGGAAAAGTTCAATGGATGTTAAATGTTCCTCATGGAGGATGCCAATAAAGAACCTTTTTAAGAGTGTATGTGTGCCGCTTCAAACGTACGTCCCAGTAAGCCGGGTCGTGTTCTTTGATTGAAGGTGGTGTAATGGCGTCTTTCTTATTGTGGACGTCTACTATAAGGTAAAAAAAGAGAGATAACCAAAGTGAAAGATTATGAATAGCAGTGTATTGATGAGAAAACAGCAGCTAAAAGACTGGAATACGATATTTGTACAGGTTTTTGCCCCGATTAGTCGACGCAAGTTCATGAACCTCAATAGCCAGTCTGCAGATTTTCGTCAGTCGGAGTTAACCGATATAGCAGAAAATCTTATGTATGATGGTCACAGACTCCGATTTCCAAGCTTCAGGCTATAATATAGCCGCTATACAATTCCATCCAGTCATTTGCATTGCATTTCCTGCTTATGTTGTTTTTAGTGCATAAACGAAATTGAATGTAAAATCAGCTTTTTATTTTGTCTGAGTGATGTTTGCGGGGTGCAAAACTCCACACCATGATAAGTTGTTTGGAGGAGTTTTAAACTTGTTATGTGGCCGTTTTTTGTTACAAGTATCATCTTTCCCAGACTTTTCGAATGTAAATTGGCCCTTGATTACCTGGGATTGGTAAGTATATACTTGGGTCATCAGTGCTGTGTGGCTCCTTGACTTTAGGGATGAGCTCAGGCTCTGGAACTTCATCTGTCAGGTGATAAAAGTTTATTATTATAGTAGTATTTTGAGAATCTGATTCTACATAAAAATAAATGATCCAGAAGGGGGTTTTCACAATGATGCCAGAAGAACCCTTTGGTTCCACAAAGAAACTTCAAGTGAAATTCTTATAAAATAATTTTTTTTCTTATTGTTAAGAACATTTTAATAATCTAAAGAACCTTTTTCCACATATAGACCTTATGTGGCTTTGCCCCTTTTCAGCGTTGTCTTCCGTCTTCCATTTGTATTTACACAGCATGTATAAGGTCGCACGAAATTATGAATTAACTGTTTGTTTTAAAATCTGCCCAGTCTACTGACATCTGCTTCAAACATTACAATGCACATGATAACTTTTGTTCATAAGTAAATCCACTTCACCAGCTAATTACTAAACAGTGGTGCTATACCGCAAAAACGGAAGTTCAAAGACAGGATTTTAAAGATGGCTGTGCACTTGATTATCTGACGCATAAGGTCTAGTGCAGGGGTGTCAAACTCAATTCCTGGAGGGCCGGAGCCCTGCAGAGTTTTGTTCCAATCCTGCTCCATCACACATACCATGTAGTTTTCGAATAAACCTGAAGGACTTGATTAGTTGGATCAGCTGTGTTTAATTAGGGTTGAATCTAAACTCTGCAGGGCTCAGGCCCTCCAGGAATTGAGTTTGACACCTGTTCTAGTACATTGGAAAAGTTCAATGGATGTTAAATGTTCCTCATGGAGGATGCCAATAAAGAACCTTTTTAAGAGTGTATGTGTGCCGCTTCAAACGTACGTCCCAGTAAGCCGGGTCGTGTTCTTTGATTGAAGGTGGTGTAATGGCGTCTTTCTTATTGTGGACGTCTACTATAAGGTAAAAAAAGAGAGATAACCAAAGTGAAAGATTATGAATAGCAGTGTATTGATGAGAAAACAGCAGCTAAAAGACTGGAATACGATATTTGTACAGGTTTTTGCCCCGATTAGTCGACGCAAGTTCATGAACCTCAATAGCCAGTCTGCAGATTTTCGTCAGTCGGAGTTAACCGATATAGCAGAAAATCTTATGTATGATGGTCACAGACTCCGATTTCCAAGCTTCAGGCTATAATATAGCCGCTATACAATTCCATCCAGTCAAAGGATATTGTAACACTTTTTATATTTTGATGCGATTTTGCAACACGTATTTAGTTTTCGTTGGTCATGCGTCTCCTAGCAACAAGTTGCATGTTTTTGTGTGAGTTTGGAAGTGTGTACATTTTAGATGTTTTTTCTTTTCCTTTGTAAGCATTTACAAAGTAGCCTAGTGCAGGGGTGGCGAACTCCGGTCCTGTAGAGTTCAGCTCCAACCCTAATTAAAACTCACCTGCCTGTAGCTTCCTAGTAACCGTTCAGACCTTGATTAGCTTGTTCAGGTGTGTTTGATTAGGGTTGAAGCAAAACTCTGCAGGGCTGCGGCTCTCCAGGACCGACGTTCGCCACCCCTGGCCTAGTGTTTTAAAAGTCATGTGATGTATTCCAGCCTTAATGTGCTCTGTACACAACAACCCAATTCTGTTAATTATGTTACATCTATAGCCTAAATGAGGCCATATGGAATTAAAGGTGAAGTTTGTCATTTCTGCACCACAATGATTCTAAAGGTGGTTTAGAATGTGGTTTCTTTGCACGCTCAAGATATTCTGGTTTCAGGTCCCTTCTTTAATGTAAGTATGTGGGATTTTTTCCCCCCCAGTGTTTACACTCCACAGGAAGTCAGTCAAATGACTTATAATTAGGCCCACTCTGAATCTGTGTTTGCAAAAACCTCCAAAGATTTCAAGATCTGAAGATTTAATGAGCTCATAAAGTTAACTTGTTAAATTGTGTGTGTTGTATTTGTTGTCATACCATGATCTGGGCCAAAGGGTTTCGCAGTCTCTGTCTCCTTTGGTTCTGTTGGAAATACTGAGCACAGAAACTGTATTTAAAAAGACCACAATAGCATTTGCTGAAAAATAATAATGTGGTGAAGATTGCATCAACATACGCGTGTCCCATCCCAGCTCCTGCAGCAGTTTCTCCTCCTCTTCCTCCATGGTTGGCTTTCTGGTTGGTTTAGTTGCTCTAGTCCTTGGTGTTGTGGTGGGCTTCGGTGCTTTTGGCTTTTTGGTGGGTTTTGGAGGCTTTGGTTTCTTGGTGGGCTTTGGGCGTTTGGGTTTTTTGGTGGGCTTCGGTTTCTTGGTCTTGGCTTCCTTCTCAGCCTTTGCCTTTGCCTTGGCTAGACAATAAATGAAAGAACGATAACCACTGTCATACAACTTTGGTTTCAAAATCATACAAATGTGTTTTTCTATACCCTTAATTCACAAACTGTCCAAACATTATGGAAGAACGTCAACATTAAAGTGATGAATTATAGCAGCAGATGAAAGCGCTAAAGAGAACTCCTGCTGACAAACAAGGTCAACGTTTCAGCTATATTTGCCTTTATTTGTGCATGCATGTTAAAGATGATGCTTTTCCATAAAATGGAAAATGTTGCTCAGATCTTTCTCCTAAAGTTCCATGGGATCAATGTAAACAAATACAACTGAGATAAGAAGTCTAATATGTGCTTTTCTATTGTGCAGGCGCTGTTTTATCTTCACATGAAGAAGTCACACTGACATGCTGAAATTGCCTTTTTTAGACGACGGCTTTGTGTCAAACTCATAGTTGTTCACATTCAACAAATCAAAGCTTTTATGAAGTTTTACAGCTGTCATAAACTGCTGAAACCACTTTGGTGGTGGGAGCAACACTTGATTAAATCCAGACCTTTGGAAATAAACCACTAAATAAATCACTGCTTAGAGTGTATGAATTACTACACAAGCTTATGTTTAAAGGCTTACCGTCAGCACAGAGTTACCAAAACATCTCTTTAATATATCTGTAATAATGTAATATTTTTTCTAGACAGCAATGATATTAAATGTGAATAAATACGTGAAATTAAGACTTTTCTGCTTTTGCTTCTGAGAAAAAGAACCGGTAATCTCACATTAATGTGTTAATGTCCAACAATTGAAAGTGAAAGATCTCAAACATTTCTCATCAGATACTTTGAGCTTCGTTTTACAGCTTTATACTCTTACTGTATGACAACTGTTGAATAATTTGGCTCAGAAATATAGGGTGAAACAATGTCGATCCTTCAATACAAGATAATTGAGATCTTCAGAGCTACAAAAGAGCATTCAAATCTCCCTCAGGATGCTGTGTAACTTCCTTCTGTTGATGATTTTCAGGCCGTGCGACTGAAGGAGAGCTGTCACACACGGCCGTCTCAAACGGATCAGATTTAAGTGAGTGTTTCAATTCAAAGCAAATGTCGGCTCCGTCTCTCTTCCCGTCTGTGTTACTCGAGCCTCACAGGACTCTGACATGAGCACAACGGAGAAGGAACGTTAGTTTTCGTATTCAAGATCATCTGTGATTCTCATTCAACCCACAACTGGAATTTCATTCCCACATGCCTCCTTCATCAGGTTTTATTTTTCCAGATGAAGGACAAAAAGAAGAAAAAACCAGCAGCAGAAAGTGTGTCAGTGGACTAAACAGTCATGGTTTCGCTAAAAATGTTGCATAACCTCAAAGGAGCCAAGCTTTTGGTTCAGCCAGATATCTGTCATTATAAAAAAGCACAGCCTTCCTCTCCTACACCAAACTGGGCTTCAACCACCAAAAAACTCATTACATAAACTCTAAATATAGTCTACTGAATGTTCAGCATTTTATGAAGCAACTTACCAGCTAATAGCTCCTCGGGTGTCTTTTTAACCTTTGGTTTTTGTTTTTCAACCATCTCTTCTGCTCTAGGCTCATCCATCTGAGTGTCTTCTGAAAATCCATCCTGTAGGTCTTCTCTTTTTGGATTAATCCCGCTGTTTTGCCTCATTTGGATGCTCCTGGTTCTCTGGTTGGACTTGGCAGCATTAACCAACTCGTCATTGATAACAAATGTCAAAATCCAGCACAGGGCAAATAAGGCTGCACACAGAGGAACCCTCGGCGCCTGCATGGTCTTCTGGGATCTTTTACGCCAATGCTACAGTTTAGAGATGGTGTCTTTTCCAATGGTAAGTGTGCGGCAATTGGAAAAGCAAAAACTGGTCATCTGGGACTCGTCTGATTGTTGGTGAAAACTAGTTCATCCAAATGTTTGGAGATTGCTGGAATCTGCTGGAGATGGGATCAGTAAGGTTGGTGTGGAAGTCAGATGTAACGGGGATCGTGGCTGTTTTTCTCTCTTCTAGTGGAATGGAATTCCGCTGACATCCCCCTCTGAGTGAGTGAGAAGGAGGACAAAACCCACAGAAAAAAGAGGAGGAGACAGAGAGAGAGAGAGATGTTGTAAGTACACGTTCAACCATTCCAAAGATGTTTTTGCTCACCAAGGTTGCATTTATTTGATCAAAATTACAATTAAAACAGTAATATTGTGAAATATTATTGCAATTTAAAATAGCTGTTTTCTATGTGAATATCTGTTAAATTGTAATTTATTCCTGTGATCAAAGCTGAATTTTCAGCATCATTACTCAAAGTCTTCAGTGTCACATGATCTTCAGAAATCATTCTAATATGCTGATTTGATGCTCAAGAAACATTTCTGATTATTATCAATGTTGAAAACAGTTGTGCTGCCCAGTGTTTTTATGGAAACCGTGATACATTTTATTTTTCAGGATTCTATGATAAAAAGAAAGTTCAAAAGAAGAGCATTTATTTGAAATATAAAGCTTTTGTAATGCAATAAATGTCTTTACTGTCACATTTGATCAATGTAATGCACCATTGCTGAAAAAAATTAATAAAAATGTATTGATCTCAAACTTTTGAATGATTATGCCCATATATAGCCTAATATTTATTTTTATAAAAAAATTTATAAATTGTATGTTTTTTTTATTTATTATTCACATTGTTATATTCTTTTCTATTATTACAGTAATGAGATGTTTAGAAGAATGTGTTTGTTGTGAAAATGTAAAAAATCTGAATAATCCTTAAAATTAAAAAAAAAAAAGTTTTTGTCAGGATTCTTGGACAGAAAGTTCAAAAGAACAGCATTTATTTTAAATAGAAATATTTTGTATATTATGCTTTTACTGTCTCTTTTGATCAATTTAATGTGTCCTTGATGATTAAAAGTATTCATTTCTTTAAAAAAAAAAAAAATCTTACTGATCCCAATCTTTTGAAATATTTTTAATCGCAGCTTTATATAAAAATTTGTATTATTTAAAAAATATTGTTTTTCTTTTATAACTAAAAGAAATACAGAACAAATCAAGAAAACTGACATTGTTTGGAAAACAATCTATTGAATGCATGCTTGCTGAATAAAAGTATAATTTTCTTTTGGAAAATAAAATAATTGTAGTGTAAATTCCATACTTTAATAAAACATACCTGTTTTTTCTTCATCAGTACTTTTTTAATGCTTTTATTATAAGCCTTTTTTCATTGAGCAAATGAGATGACACTGGTGGACTGAAGCCATCATTACCAAATAATGCCTAAAACCTCGTTTGCAGAAATAGCACAGATCTGGCCTGGTTTTGGAAAGACACACTCTATCAGTTGTTCTTTCTTCATATTTCTTCTCTTAATCTTCAGTGGTTGTCAAGCATGTTTGCCTAGAACTAATATATTTTTTAATGAAGCCAACACAATTATGACTGTGAAAAAAAGTGCAAAACTATAAACTTTATTGTGTCCTCTTACATTTAAATTGTGGTATAAAATACAATTGTTAAAGACATTATAAATATTATGACGACTTTATTATAAAAAAAAGTTAAATATTACATTAAATATATTGCTCGTGTTCATTCATTCAAAAAAAAAAAAAACTTCTTCAAATCAAGAACTTTCAAGAGTTCTAATTTAGAGATTTAAAAAGTTCTCAGATCAGTCTATTGGTTTCTGTTCTTTAAAGCCACAGAGAGCTAGACAAAAGTAGGTCAGAACATCATGAGGGTGTGGTGCTGGTAAGGTGTTTGTGGTGTGTAATAATGCACAGGATTTGCGTGATGTCCAGGCAGCGCATACATAAATGCCCGATGTGCGCAATGGTTCTGCTCCTCTCCTCCATGACCTTCTTGTTCCTTCTTCCATTTGGTGCGTCTGTTCTGAAACCAGATCTTGACCTGTGTTTCGGACAGACGGAGGCCTGTGGCGATGCAGTGGCGCTCAAACACCGACAGATAGTGGCTGTTCTGGAAGCTTCGCTCCAGGATGCGCAGCTGATCCAGTGTGAACGCAGTGCGCATGCGCTTCGATTTCCCCTTCGCACCAGAAACGCTGGGGATGTTTGAATCTGCTGCGTCTTGAGATGCAAGTTTAACTGAAATGTAAGGAAAAAAGATGTCATATTATTATTATTATTATTATATATTTTTTTAAATATACAAAAAAAGGCCAAAAATATATATTTACGTAAAAGTATTTTGAAATGTATTTTAACAAATATATTTTTGGCCTTTTTTGTATATCTAAAAATACATAAGGTCAAATATATTTTTGTATTTTTTTGTTGTTGCATATTTTAAAATGTATTTGAACATGTTTTTTCCCTGTATGAACAAAACGCAATATTTGTGATTTATGTTTATATTTAAAACTATTATAAGATGATACATGCTGGATTAGCGTTAAACGGTTGCTATGGTTACCACCTCCGGTGAACGCGACTATCGTCCGTCCGCGAGTGTTTATTTACCGCATTCTGAATTACCGGTATAATCGAACTTTAGATTTTATTTTTCATTGGAAACACGGTTTAAAAGTTTATATAGTACAAGTTTTGTTTTGATTTTCTTTCCTTCATGATCAAACTCTGAAGACGCGCTGGAAAAGTGATCAGACAGCGCCCTCTTCTGGACAATCACTTGAAGTATTTTTCATTCGGGGGAAAAAATTTTTTTTATATATATATATACAGTGGGTACGGAAAGTATTCAGATATTTTTTTTTATTTTTTTTTAGTTGTTTTTGTTAATAGGTTCGTTATGTAGTCACTACTTTGCACAAATTCATGAAAAAAAAAAAACAATTTAATTTTACAATTTTCATTAATCAAGCTCCTCACTAATTCATGTTTTTACTGCTGTTGGTAATTTGACGCTTTACGCAAGGGTAGCTTTCAAAAAACGTTTTATTTTCACAAATTACAGTATGTTGCACCAACCAAAACTAATATGCTACTTTACATTTTTAAAACCTACTTATTTTCACCCTTAAAAAAACAGACGAATAGCTGAAACTCACTGGAGATTTCCTGCGTCCTGATGTCTCTCTGCGTCTCCTGATGCTTCCCGGTGAATTTGGAGGGATCCAGGATGTCTGCGATGGAAAAAGAGGTTTTTCTCTGCACTGGTGAACTGCCTGTTTCTTCATGCATGCTGACGGTCAGTTAAACAGCAGCCAGTAAGTGTGACCGTGTAACTCACTCAGTCCTGTGATATCTGAGCATCTCCATCAGCTCACAGCGCTTATCTACAGCTCAGACAGACGCGTGTCAAATCAACATGTTCAAGGATCTCAGTGAGTTTAAACCAAGCTCTAAAACTCCTCCTTTACACGCTTTAACATCTGAATGTGTCTCAGTGGGTGACACGCTTCCTTTGCCATTTATTGCATTGCATCTGGTTAAAATGTGCCCTTTTCTGAAGAGCCGTGTAGTTTTTTTGTATCAGAGCTTGTCATTATTTGCAATTGTGTGATTTTACGGTGGTCGAGCGCGTGAGAAGCTGTTGTGATGCTAATTAATCGACTAAAGTCCTCCAGAAGAAAAGCCTGTTAAAGTCACTATTCTGGAATAGCATGTAAAAGAACGTTAAAAAAAAAAAAAAGCCTATTTATTTCTTTAATTTATTTTAAAAAATTGAGTGTGTGTGTGTGATTTGATGTGCATATTTGTATTTAATAAAATGGACATAATAAACATGAAATAATACAAATTGACAATGCATAAATTATTTTCATATAATACTATCAATCTATTATATATCTAATCTATTATATCTAATCAAATTTATTTCCATATAAAATAATACTATATCTATCTATCTATCAGTCTATCTATCTATGCATCAAAGATGTGGTACATCATTTGCATGTTAGGAAATATTTAATAATTTAGATTTAATAATTTAGGTGACCAAATGAAAAAAACAGAAATGCATTTTAATGTAATATGTTAATATAATACTTTTATAATAAAAAAAAAAAATCAATTTCTTTATCAAAAGCGACAGATATAAATAAATTTTTCTTTAAAAATAAATTGTGGATTTTGATGCTCTGGACAAAACTGAGCAACAGTTAAACATTTCAATACAACATAATTGTGTTTTCACATTTTAAAAAACACTTTAGAAATGCATTACATTTTGTGAATAGGAACAATATATTTTTTTTATCATTTTGTGTTTTAATGTGTGTTTGTTTTACCTGGCATATAATATTTTAACATTTAATACAATAATTTAAAATGCATTTATTTTATTATTTTTTTTATCAAAACCAAAAAGATAACTAGATACACAAATCTTTTTTTGTTTTTTTCAAATATGCGTTTAGCTTCTCTGTACAAAACTGAGCAACATTTAAACAATACAATGCAACTGAATGCAAAATACATGTATTTTCTAATTTATAAAACACTTTAATGCTTTATATATAGGAAAATATATATTTTTTTTTATCATTTTGTGTATGTGTATTTGTTTTAATTGACATAATATTTTTATCATTTAATAAAATAATATAAAATAGAATTATTTTAAATATATATATATATTTTTTATTAAAACCAAACATAAAACAGATAAAAATAGACAGACAGACTAATTTTTTTCTTCGAAAAGAAAATGTGCACTGCTCTGTACAAAACTGAGCAACAGTGAAACATTTCAATACAATATAGCTGAATGCAAAATGCATGGATTTTCTCATTAAAAAACACTTTAGGAACACTTTACACTTTGTGTAAAGTTATGTGTATTTGTTTTAATAAACTCTTATGCATGCAAATAAAGTTTTTTGGGGTAGTTGAATATTCTAATGCATCTAAAGCAGCAGAAAGCGTGCTGGTCTCCAGCGGGATGAGTGTGTGCTCAGTAGGAGCCTCCAGACAAAGGTCTTATGATGCTGTAAATAATGGCTGAAGGCTCCAGAGGTGGCCCTCGGTGGCAGCTGCCAGCCACCAGCACCAACTATACTGCTGGTATTCACTGCTCGAGGCTTCACCGGCCCACCGGGACAATTAGCCATGTCTGTGACCCTGCCTGACCTGCGCCTTTGTCCCGGCAGTGAGGATGAGGAGGAGTATCAGCGAGGGGCCTTCAGCTCAATCACACAGCAGAAGATCTCCAGCGCTGCTGCTCAAAACACATTAACCTCATTAACCTGCACTGCTTCTGTCTTACACTCTTTTGAAGTTGATCTCATATAAATGATTGACCACCGCATGGGTCACCAAAGTGGATTTTAATAGGCCTATTATTTTAAAAAAGCCTCGAAATGATCTTGAAATGCTCAGATATGTGGCTTTCAACCTGTTGATTCCAATGTTATAAGATGATCAAGATTTTGTTTGCTTGGATACATAATCTTTAATGTTTGATAATCTGTTTTTAATCATTTTGTCATGATTTGCTGTTGAATGAAAAGCTACTGTGATGCTATTTAATCGATTAATTAATCATAGTCTTCCAAAGTACTGATGTCTCAAGAATTGCATGTTTAGGTTAATAATATAATATAATATAATATAATATAATATAATATAAATAATATAATATAATATTTATTGCTATTACTATTTATTTAATAAAATATTGAATTATATATTTATATTACATTACATTTAACTTTTATTTAAAAAAAAAAAAAAAAAAAAAAAAACTATATTTTTGTAAATAACAATAAAAAATTATAAAATTTGATCTCCAGAAAATGAACAATTAAATTAACCTGTTCTAGGGATTTCTGTATTAAAGACTTGGCATAATGTCATGTTTGGAAATATGTCTTCCATCTGACAATAATCTTAAACATTTGATAATTTTAGTTATGTATAAAATTTTGTCCTTGATGCCATACTTTGTGCTTGTACTTTGTACTGTTTATTGAGAATAATGTCAGGGGTCGTCGTGTCTGTACGTCACAGATGGCCAACAATGCATCAGCGAGATGTATTTGAACGATCCTCTTTCCATTCCATCAGCAGATCATTGTCCTGCACTTTCACACAAAGAAAGATGCTTTAGTGCTAATGGAAGTTTAAAGCGTGTTTTACAGGTTTACGATGGATTTGTTGTCCGCAGTGGACTGAAAGAAAGAGACACTGAAGAGTTTGTTTGCATGTCGTTCAAGCATCTGTCCTTACAGGAAGAAACGTCATGACAGTTCTGCTGTTAAACACTTCTGAGCAGTTTACTACAAACACATAAATTAAAGAATTAAGATGAATAAAATATACTTATAGGACAAATTACATAATCTCTCTCTCTTTTTTTTTTTTTTTTGGA